TTTTTTTTTGGACTTGATTTTTCATGTTTGTATTGGAATTACTTCCAAAAGTTTTTATTGCATGACACCTAATAACCTAAACAAAAGATGGTCTCAAGCATTGTGCTCTATGAATCAAACTATCTCAAGCCCTCAAAATTGAAAATAGAAAAAAATAAAAATAAAATAAAGATGTCCTCATTGAATCCGAGCTCGTCGCTGCCGTCGTCTCTAGATGAGCTATCCTACCATGGAGCCTCCGCCCTTTACCTCCCCCTGGTCACCGTCGCAAACCCCCCGCACGAGGTCGCGGTGCAGGTCCACCCGACGAACATATCCATGACCCTCGTCGAGAGCGTCGATGACCTCGAGGCCCTCCACTGGTTCTGGGTCAAGCTGGGCCCGTCGCCAGTGACTAGGGCCTTGATCGATGCCCTCCCGGTGGTCTCTACGCCGGAGACGGGCCTGGAGTGCTCGATCTGCGTGGTGGAGTACGAGATCAACGCAGCAGTCAAGGAGATGTCGTGCAGCAACCGGTTCCACCGCAGCTGCATTTACATGTCAGGGGATCCTAATGTTTAGGCAGGCCCTGTCCCACCAATTGACGGTGGGAATCCCTCGACAAAAGAACAAAATGATAAGGATGATAAGGACGACATCTTCACTGCGATCAACAGCAGTCGCCAACAGGTCAATTAATTTATTTGTCATATTATATAAATATTAGTCACTGAATTTTACAACTGAATTGCTAAAATTGAATTCCACCTCCCTACTTTAAATGAGGGGATCCTATAATCACAGACCTTACAAATAAATGAAAATAACTTAACCTAATAATAGCTTCTTTTTTTTTTGGTACAAACCTAATAATAGCTTTAATGAGGCGTAAAAGCTATTACTAAATTTCTACTAGTAGTAGTATATAACAACCAAAACATTTAAAAAAAAATAAACATTAGCTTGTAAGATATAATAGCCACCAATTGAAACCTTATTAAAAATAAATAAATAAAAAAAATAACTGCAAGCTGTGGGATATCCAAAAATACTTGTTGGCCTATACCCAAAAAACATAGCGTTGAAAGCAATACGAGAACAAATCTGGGTGATTTGCGCCTGGACCACATAAGTAAACAGCAATACGAGAAACCATGAAACAGAGAAGTCGTATTAAACCATAATGCACCACGCAAACTCAATAACGGAACACACTTAAGAGTTCAAACATCCAGAACAAACACAAAACACAAGACACAACAACCTCATATTGTTGAAATTCAAGAAACAGCACAAGCAAATACTACTACTCTTTATCAATACTCTTCCTCATCCTCCTCTCCCTCAGCACTCTCAGCCCCGACCTCCTCGTAGTCCTTCTCAAGGGCCGCCAGATCCTCTCTAGCCTCCGAGAACTCCCCTTCCTCCATGCCCTCGCCCACGTACCAGTGCACAAAGGCCCTCTTTGCGTACATAAGGTCAAACTTGTGGTCAATCCTCGAGAACACCTCAGCCACACTTGTCGAGTTGGAGATCATGCATACAGCCCTCTGCACCTTTGCCAGGTCACCGCCGGGGACCACCGTGGGGGGCTGGTAGTTGATGCCACATTTGAACCCAGTTGGGCACCAGTCCACAAACTGGATGGTGCGCTTTGTCTTGATGGTGGCCACAGCTGCATTCACATCCTTGGGGACCACATCACCTCTGTACATGAGGCAGCAGGCCATGTACTTTCCGTGCCGGGGGTCGCACTTGACCATCATGGATGAAGGCTCGAAGGCCGTGTTGGTGATTTCAGCCACAGACAGCTGCTCATGGTAGGCCTTCTCAGCCGAGATGACGGGGGCATAGGACGAGAGCATGAAGTGGATCCTAGGGTAAGGGACCAGATTGGTTTGGAACTCATTCACATCCACATTCAACGCACCATCAAACCTCAAGGATGCGGTCAGGGAGGAAATAACCTGGGAATTCAAATAAACATCATATTTATCCAGCCAAATTACAAATAAAGACTCACTAAATGCATAATACAGAAAAAGCTATACTATACCTGAGAAATGAGCCTATTGAGATTGGTGTATGTGGGCCTCTCAATGTCAAGGGATTTGCGGCAGATGTCGTAGATGGCCTCGTTGTCGAGAAGGATAGCAACATCAGTGTGCTCCAGCAGAGAGTGGGTCGAGAGAACAGAGTTGTACGGCTCAACAACTGCAGTCGACACCTGTGGGGAAGGGTAAATGGTGAAGCCCAGCTTAGATTTCTTTCCATAGTCAACCGAGAGCCTCTCAAGGAGAAGGGATCCGAGCCCAGATCCAGTACCACCACCAACAGCATGGAAAACCAAGAACCCCTGCAGCCCAGTGCAGTTGTCCGCCAGCTTGCGGATCCTATCAAGACAGAGATCCACAATCTCTTTGCCAATGGTGTAATGACCTCTGGCGAAGTTGTTTGCAGCATCTTCTTTGCCGCTGATGAGCTGTTCAGGGTGGAAAAGCTGACGATACGTGCCCGTGCGCACCTCATCAATCACAGTTGGCTCCAGGTCCACAAACACTGCACGAGGAACGTGTTTGCCAGCACCAGTTTCACTGAAGAAAGTGTTGAAGGCATCATCACCGCCACCAACAGTTGTGTCACTGGGCATCTGCCCATCAGGCTGTAACAAAGGTAGATCTAATTGTAAGGGCACCAAAAATAAACTAAGCCTACGCATCAAAAGGTCGCTACATGTAATCAAAGAACCAATAAAAACGTAACATACATATGATCCATTGCCCCACTATATCTGAATGCACAAAACAATAAAAGGGTTACTTAATAGCGTGAAAACGTCACCAGATCTAAATGCATTTTCAATTTCCATTTACACCAACAGCAAAAAGACTCGTAGAAACAATTCGCTAGATCTAATGAAATCGACAGATAATGACAAATGCAGTGAACATTTTCATCTCACGGCAAAGACTGTTATCAAAACGCGATCTCATACAATAAGGAAATCAGATGAAGGCAGTATAAAATCTTAACAAAGACAGATCTGCGAGATTTACATGTAATAGAACGATATATAATTAGATCTGAATCAAAGAAACAACAAATATAGACAGATCTGAGAGATAAACCTGAATGCCATGCTCGAGGCAGTAGAGCTCCCAGCAAGCATTGCCGACCTGGATTCCGGCCTGTCCGATGTGGATCGAAATGCACTCTCTCATTTTCGATAAAAATGTTTTGTTTGCCGAAGAATTTGAAAGAGAAAAAGGGAGAGAAGCCCAGATGCGTATATGAAGACGCTCTGGAGGAGAGATGGTTAAGATGGGATTAGGGGTTTGCGGGGAAGCGGAATGTATTTATAGGCAATAAGTTGGATGCTTTTATGGTTGAAGGCTGATATATATTTTTCAATGGAGAAATAGCAGTAGTGGTAAATGACAGCTGGCTGGTAATTACCGTTGCCGCTCCGCTTTTTACGAAAAATGTAGCAGGTTTTGAAATTTGAAAATGTGGGTAATAATAAATATTGGGTGTTGATTTTTACCGCCCCCCTTTTCGATTATTACCGCCCCCTAAAAGTCGTTTTTGCCCTTTCTAATAAAAAAAAAAAATACATTCATTATTCACTTTACATATTTTTTCTCCCGGTTCCAGACTTCGAAAAATTCCGAAAAAAATTCCGACCTACTCCGGCGACGACGATGGCGGCGAGGAAGGTAAAATTTTTTTTCCTCGGCGGCCGGCCGGCCGGACCGGCCGGTTCACCCATGGCCGGCCGCTTATGCTGGCCGGCTCAGGTCTAGCCGGCCAATCTTGCCGGCCGGCCCTTGGTCAATGTATTTTGACTCTGGCCGGCCGGTCCATTTTGGGCCGGTTTTGTGAACCGGCCAGACCTAAACCGGCCGGTCTGGCGGGCCGGCCGGCCGGCCCGATTATTTTTTTTTTAATATATATTATATATAATTATATATTTATGATAATATACGAAAATATATATTTAATTATATATTTAAAAATATATATTCAAGATAT